GAGGCCATTTTCAGAGGTTAATGAGTTGGGTTTTGGGTCCAGAAGTTGCTGTCTTGCTGAGCTTCAAGGGTAACACACTTTTTCCCTCTTTTAAGCTTTATTTTGATCCATCTCTTAGCCTTATTTGCATGCATATTTGAGCTTTGTTGTCAACTAAAAAAAGTCTTTTTTTTTAGGTCCTTTTGATGTTTGTTTAAGGTCATCTTGTTGTTGGGGGTCATCTACCCCCTTGCATGCTTCATTTTGCCTTGTTTTGAGCCATGCCCTAAGGCCTTTCTGTTGACCTTTGCTTGGCCTTTTAACCACTGAAATCCAACGGATTTTTAGTAGTTAACATGTGTTTTTGAGAGCCAAAATCAGAGAGGGGTGACCCTCTCCCTCCTTGTCTTGTTCACTAGCATTTTGGCCTTACAAAGGAGCCTTCATTTGCACACCTCCAAGCCTTGTTTCAGGCCCTTTTCAATGACTTCTAGGGACTGCCTAGGCTCTGTCCAGAGTTGGTTTTGTCACCTTGGGTGTGTTTCTTGCATGTGTAGAATAACCCCTCTTATAGCCTATCAAAGGAGCATGTCATTCTTGCATGCATTGATCATGTTTCAGTGGGTTTTTGGGCTTTATTTGGCATGTCATGTCTCTGACTTTTGCTGGTTTAGTGGCCTATTGAATGCTTCATATGCTTGTAATGTAATCCATGTTCACTAGCTCACATTGCATGTTGTTTTGGCCCTTGATTCTAGCATATTTTGGCCATGTTCTAAACTGATTTTATTCATGATTTGGGCTGCCTTAGCTCTGTTTTGAGGTCCCATGGTCGAGTGATGCTTGCCATGCATGCTTGTAGTGTAATACCCTTGCCTAGCTTCGAGTTTTGAAGCCTCTTGCATGCTTAACTTGAGTTGTTTTCATGTTTTGGCGTCATTGAACATGTTATTTCAGAGCTTATACTTGTGCCATATTTCCATATTTTCCACTCTTTAAATGCATTTGAGAGTTGTGCTTGTATACCTCATTTTTGGGCTATTGAATGAGCTTCATTTTTGTGCATTGCAAGCCATCATTTTAGTCCATTTTGCCACCGTTTTGGGTCTGCATAGGGACTATTTGGGGTTGGTTTGGTCATTTGGGCATCGCTTTGCATACCTCTAGTGTAATGCACTTCACTCGTTTCGGTAATTGTGCAATCCAACATGCATCGGGTGAGTTGTTTGCTTGATTCGGGACCATCTTGCATGTCATTTCAGAGCTGGAACATGTGTCATTGTATGCCATATTTCATCATTGTCTTGCTTTGGTAGAGTTGCACTTTGTTCCTTAGGTTTGGTCCCTTGCATTTGTGCATGTTTGCATGTACCTTGTTGCCTCATTTTCATCATTTTGGCCACTGATTTGGGTGCGGTTGAGGTCCATCCATCTTGGTTTAAGTCCATCTTGCATTATATATGCCATACAATCCATGTTATCGCATGTTCGATCATTGCATTGCGTATGCCTCGTTCATAACATTGCGTATGTTAGTGCATTGTGTATGCATGTCATATAAGTGCATTGAGTATGCCATTGATTAGTTCATAGCATTGTGTATGCCATTTGTATGCTTGCATATCATTCCATGCATCTTCGCATCACTTAGTTGCATTGCATTTAGATCGCATGCTAGAGTTGCATTTGTCCATACATTGTTTGTTGCATTGTGTTTGGAGTGGGATTTAGTCCAAACACGGGAAACGAGGGACGTTTCGTACTTAAAGTGACGAAACGTGCCTCGATTCTTGGTCACCGACACTCTTGACTATCCATGATAGATTTGTTGGCTTTAGGTGTTTACATGTGCATTCATTTCATATTAAGTCATACAATTTGACTCCTCAGCCATCATGCATCGGGATGCGTGATTGATGGCACGAGGATCAACGACTACACTCCCTAGAGCTTATGCAATGACGGGGAGAGTGGTCGGGCACACATATGTTGAAAATACTTTGCCTTCTCTCTCTCTTGCCTTTGTTGCAGAAAGTGCAGAAACTAGGAGAAGAAACTGGCCGGCAGACCAGGTTTTCTGGCAAGCCGACCACCTTTTCTAGTTTTCACCACCAAGGGTGGTCGGTAGGTGGTCTCCAATGCCTATAGCTGGTCGGTAACCTTCCCCTAGATTCCCAGGGTGGAGTTTCATCTCCTTGGAGCTTTGTGCAAGTTTCTGAGTTCAATTGCAAACAAAGGCGAGTTGAGACATCGCAATGGATTTCCCGACAAGGTGACTTGAGCATGCATGCATCCTTATCATTCGAAACAGAGCTGAGGCAGTCCATTTCATGTAGCTTGCATGCTAATTTATTTGCTTCCTTAGTTTAATTTGTTAATTAATTAATGTTGTATAATATTTAGCTGTAATTCGTTATTCATTTCGGTTGTGTAATAACTAGTTTAATTAGCTTAGATTAGCTAGTTGGTTCTGTATTATTTATTCGGACTCTCCGCGAGAGGGCGAACTTTTTAATAAGTGTGCGTGTGTGTGATGCATGTCTTCCAACCCCACGTCTTTCTCCCTTTTATTTACCAGCTTATGATGGTTAGTTTTAGGGTATGTTTTAATTAGCATCTATATGTTCACATGTTTGCATCCATTCATCTGTCTTGCATGCACCGGGCTCGGCGCATCATACTAACTGCATTGTTTTTCAATTCCTGTTTGAATACATGTATCAAATTGCATTTCACATGACATTTTAGAATAGCTGAGCCTATCTTAGTTGCATTTTGTATGTGTTGCATTAGGCATTCTTGACATAGCTAGGATCATGCATTGATTTCTAACATTGCTTTTGTTTTGGTTCGGAGTACTCAGTAAGTTGCGGCGGCCTCTTTTATTTCACACTTAGTTTGTTTTGTAATTAATTTGTTAATTAATTAAGGGTTTTGTAATATTTAATTAGCTAGGGTAGTTGTTTGATTATTCGGTCTGTATTATTTATTCGAACCCTCCGCAAGAGGGCGAATTTTGTAATAAGTGTGCGTGTGTGTGATGCATGTCCTCCAACCCCACGTTTTTCCCCCTTTTATTTACCAGGTTATGATGGTTAGTTTTAGGGCATGTTTCAATTAGCATCTATATATTCGCATGTTTGCATTCATCCGTATTGCACGCACCGGGCTCGGCGCATCATACTAATTGCATAGCATTTCAATTCCAACTTGAACACGTGTATCGAGTTGCCGCATTTCACATGCCATTCTTACAATAACCGAGCCTATTTTAGTTGCATTTTGCATGTGTTGCATTAGCCATCTTAACATGAACTAGGATCATGCATGATTCCTAACTATTTTCTTGTTTTGGCTCGGAGTACTAGGTAAGCTTTTATGCTTTAGCATCTTACATGAGTGTGAATGTTGCCATGATAGCATGCTTACCATGAGGCTACGTGCTTATGTGATATAACTACATGAATGCCTATGGGTGAATGTTGGATTATTTGAATTGGATCAATTCATTGAAATCCGTGTTTTAGCCTACTTGCGAGTAGCAAAACTCAAAACATTTTCCAAACAAACGGATATGCAATGCTTTGTTCCAACTTAAGCAATCCAGTCTATACTTGTATGCTGTGCGCATCACATAGTAATTCTAGGCTAATAAACTGAAATAAGAGCACATGTGTTTTCAAAAAAAACTCAATATCATGCTTAGTAGTGGCCAATCTTCGATCAGGCGAGCGGGGGTGCTCATGAAATGACCTTCCCCAGTCGTACCCAAGTTTCCAAGTTGAGGCAACTTTGGTGATGACGGATACGTGGCCTTAGGCACGAGTCAGGGTTTCCTAAATTCCCCCAAAACAAAATATTTAGGTGGCGACTCTGTATCTGGCAAAGCAGTCCTTGTTTGGCACTTCTTTCTAAAAATCTGTTTTTCAAACCGATTTGCCGAATTTGGACTCTTTGGTGATTTATCGGTCTCGCATTACACTTTGTGGGATTAGATTCAGAACCGTGACATTTGAGTCCGAACTGTAGTGAGCCCAATAAACAAAACGGGGATTTTCCCGGGACGTTCGGGGACGTCTACACCTACGTGATTCGTGATTCGTAATAGATTTAATTACAACAATTTCCAAACAATTAAAACTAACAATCTAAATCATCTAGCATGTACGAAAGTGATTTAGATTGTTGTTTAACAATAATAAATGGACACAAACAATTTTTACGTAGAAAAACCCCACAGTTGGAGGACCTCCAATTATGATAAAAAATTTACAAGCGAAACACCACTAATCAATCCACTATAAAGAAAGAAAGAACACAAAATTACCAAACAATTTACCTACACTCTACAAAATAGTCTTCAACAATTTGTGTCTCTTTCACTAACGCTTTCATCTCAGAATTGATCAGCTTGATATTGAATCCACAACATCCATATCGAATCAATGGCCACGAGTAGCCTCAATCTCCTTCGAAAACTCCACGCGTGTGTTATGAGAGTAGAAAGAAAAGAGAAAACAGAAACTCTTGTATTCAATCTGAAGATTAATGAATAGGTACATACTTTTTTATATATGAGAGAAGATAAGTATATACATAGAATATACTGTATAATAGATATATACAAATATATTTAACACCCCCCCCCCCTCAAGCTCAAGGTGGTAATGCAGATATCAAGTTGAGCTTGGAAAGTAAATCAGAAAATCGTCCTGGAGGATGAGCCTTGGTGAAGATGTCAGGTATCTGACCAACAGAGATAACAAAGATAAGACGAACAGTGCCACTAGTAACGTGTTACCGGATGAAGTGACAATCAATCTCAATATGCATAGTGCAATCAATGAAGACATCATTATGTACAAATTTGAAATAGCACTCTGATTGTCACAATAGAGGTTAGTGGCAGCAAGATGGGGAATTCTCATATTAGTAAGAAGCCAATGAAGCCACACAAGCTCTTGAGTAGTATTCGCAAGGGCACGATACTCAGCCTCAGTACTAGAACGAGCAACAAGAGTTTATTTCTTGCTACACCAGGCAATGAGAGAATCACCCAAGAAGAAATAGAACCCTGTAGTAGAGCAGCAGCCAGTAGGATCCCCTGCCCAATCTGCATCAGAAAATGCATGTAACTGTAGAGAAGAGTGTGTTGAGTAGTGAAGACCATGGAATATAGTGCCTTTTAGATAGTGCGAATTGCGAACTAGAGCATCATAGTGCGGAGACATAAACTGACTGACAATGTGAACAGCATAGGCAACGTCTGGATGAGTAACTGTGAGATAAACAAGACCGCCAACTAGCTGACGATATAAAGTAGCATCAGATAATAGGTGACCATCGAGAGGTGTGAGACGAGTCTGAGGATCAACTAGAGTAGTAACAATCTTGCAATCGGTAAGACCAACACAAGTCAAGAGATCAGAGATATACTTGGCCTGGGTGAGAAAGTAACCATAAGGATCATGAGAAATTTTCAAGCCGAGGAAGTAGCTAAGTAAACCCAAATCTTTTATCTCAAACTGGTGACTGAGGAACTGTTTGAGACTAAAGATACCCACTGTGTCATCGCCAGTGATAATCATATCATCCACATAGAGAAGAATAATAATAATACCACGCTCTGTCTGACGTATAAACAAGGCAGAATCATAGGCACTGGAGAAAAAACCAAAGTCATGAATAGTAGAACTGAACTTGGCAAACCAGGCACGATGAGCTTGTTTCAAACCATATAAAGCACGACGAAGTTTGCAAACTTTGATGGATGGAATAGAGGAACCAGGCGGAGGTTGCATATAAACTTCCTTAGTGAGATCCTTAGTGAGATCACCATTGAGAAAGGCATTCTTGACATCTATCTGACAAAGACTCTAGTGCCGAGCAACAGCAACTGTTAATAAGCTGCGAACTGAAGTAAGATAAGCAACATAAGCATATGTTTCCTCATAGTCAATCCTATACTCTTGAGTAAATTCCCAAGCAACAAGACGGGCTTTGTAACGTTCAATGGAACCATCAGAATGAGTTTTGATCTTATAAACCCATTTGCAATTAACAGTAGTCTTGCTAGGAGGAAGATCAACCAAGTCCCAGGTATGAGTTTTATCCAAAGCCTGTAGTTCATTAGTCATAGCTTGCTGCCAAAGAGGGTTAGAACAAGCCTTACGATAGGATGTAGGTTCATGAGAGGAAAAAGCAGTGGAACCAATAATATAATCACAGAGAAGAATAGAAGGTTGTTTTACCCGAGTCGAATGATGATCTGCTGGAGGAAATGGTGGTGAGGATTGAGAAAGCTCCACAGGAGATGATGGAGGAGGCTCCACAGGAGGTAATAGAGGAGGCATAGGACCATTGTCAGATATAGAAACCTCATGATTAATGGTAGGCATAGGCAGCTGTGAAGGCGTTGGACCGGAATCTGCATCAAATTCAGGAGACAACAAGTCTATAGAAAGATCAGTAAAAAAACAGGGAATGGGTGGACGGTGGTAGGTGAAACTTAGACAAAGTAGAGAACATTTTGTGTTCCTAGAAAACCACATGATGAGAAATATGAAGACGCTTGGAGACTGGATCCCAACAGCGATACCCTTTATGTTTTATACCATACCCCAGAAAAAGCAAAGACGAGAACGAGGTTCTAGTTTAGTGTGTTCATGAGGTTGAAGGAGAACAAAACAAGCAGAGCCAAAAAATTTAAGAGTGGTGTATGTAGGAGGAGAACCATACAGACGTTCATAAGGAGAGAGATTGGCTATGAGAGGAGTAGACACATGATTTATGGTGTAGACAGCAATGAGAACAGCTTTCCCCCAAAACTTTTCTAGATCGAAAGAGGAGATGAGAAGGGCATCAATAGTGTCTAGAATATGACGATGCTTTCTTTTAGCGTGACCATTTTGTTGGGACGTGCTTGCACAAAAACGATGAGATTGAGTACCATGTGCCCGAAGAAAGGAAAGAAAATCAGAATCCAAGTATTCCATAGCGTTATTAAAATGAAAGATTTTAATAGTTTGAGAAAACTAAGTGTGGTCCATAGTAGAGAAATCATAATAAATATGTTTAAGTTTAGACCAAATTTTGAAAAGAAATATCCAAGTATAACAAGAAAAATCATCAACAAAAATCACAAAATATCTAGACCCCCCCATGGTCGGGGTGGGGGAGGGTCCCCAGATATCTGAATGCACAAGACCAAATGGGGTAGTAGAAATAGAATTACTTTTATTAAAAGGTAATGCAAGCTATTTAGCAATTTGATAAGGTAAACAATCAATATTTTCAGAACTAACACGACCTAACCGACCACTAGAAACCAAAATTTTTAAACGACTAAAAGAGACATGTCCTAAATGATAATGCCAAAGGTGAAAAGAAGATATAGAAGTAAAAGTAACGGAAAAGGAAACAAAAGCAGCAGTGGATGATGTAGATGGAATGCGAAGATGAAGAAGCTCGAACAGACGTCCATGCCTACGGCCTATCCCAAGGATCTATTTCGTCTGAGGGTTCTACACCAAACAACCATTAGCAGAAAAGGTGACGATGAGACCAAGTTCACACAATTGACCAATAGAGATAAGGTTTAATTTAAGAGCATGAATGTGATAAACATTAGAAAGAGATATAGTAGAAGTAGAAATTTGACCAATGTGACTAATAGACATACGAGAACCATCAACAGTATGTATAGAGGGAATAGAAGAGGATGATGAGATAGAAGAAAATATAGTAGAATCAGAGGTCATATAATTATAGCAGGCATAATGAAAATACCATGAAGGATTACCTAATGTGACTGAAAGAGCTGGAGAATGAAGAGTACCAGATTTGGCAAGCACCTACTGGATAATGGACTTAACATCATCCATAGAAAAGGATGGAGCAATAGGATCAGTAGAGTGGTGAGTGCAAGAACTCTCTAATACAGCAACAGTAGTAACAGGATGAGAACCAGGAGTAGATTTGGACTGATGCCGTGAAGATCCTTTCTTGGATGAAGAAACAGGGGGAGCTCAAGGACAATTGCTTTGGAGATGACCTGGAGCTGTCTTGTGGCAAGTCAAGCATTCACGAACTTAGCACTGAAGTAAAGAATGATTGGCAGGTAGGCCACGGTTGCAACAATAAATGCATGAGGTAGGAGGCTATGAAGATAAAGAACCCCGTGATGATGGCGTGGCAAGAACAGAATCCAAGTTTTGAGTTTTAAGCATCCCAAAACAAGTTTCTTCTGATAAGAGTTCGGTCATGGCTTGCTCGAAAGTCTGTAAGAGAAAACGATGGAGCAAGAAAGCACGCACAGGTTCAAAGGTGCTATGAAGAGCCATAAGAAATTGCAATAGCCGTTGATGATTCCTATGAACAAGAAATAATTATGCATCCTCAAAATGTGCCCAAGTAGGTTCAGAAAGGGCCAGCTGGTCCCAGACAAATGACATCTAGGATAAAAAATCATTGATGGACTGACCAGGCTCTTGGCGCATGTGATGAAGAGTTTGTAGGAGTTGATATTGGTGAGCATGTCCAGTAGTCTGATTGCGGTCCTTCAAGAAATCCCAAATTGCTTTGGCAGGAGAGACAATGGAAGCATTATCCTGAAAGCGTCCAAACTAAAGGTTAATGGAAGGGACAGAAGTAGCCCAGAACCTTGTGATAATCTAGTAGTTCTTCCCTTCCCATTCATCAAGACACTCATCGAAAGCAAATGCAGTCTCTTTGTTTTCTTGGATGGGTTTAGAAAGAGCAATAGTGATAATATGCCACAGCCGCTTCCCTTTGATAAATCTAGAGAGAGCTTCGGCCCAGAGAACATAATTAGACCCATCAAGTGTATTGGAGACGGAATAGATGTTGTCAGAACGATCCATGATGCTGAAATAGGGAAAAAAAAAAAAGAAGAAGGTGCTTTGTAAAGGCTAATTTTTCCAAAACAGAACACACCAGCAGATTCAGGAGGCCGAAAATAGTTAGGATATGGTCTGAACGGGCCAAAAACACGACCAGAAAGGCAGTGAATCGACTGGTCAAAGTAGTTTGACCAATCTGGTCAACTAGGGTTGATGTCATACACGAAACCAGAGACATGCGGCGCACTTTGGCAAAAATGCGTGGGGCACGATAGCAAGCGGAGTAGCAGCGGCGCACGAAACTAGGGCTGACGTCAGAAACACGCGGCTCACGTTAGTAGATGAGGCCATGGTGCACGATAGAGTGAGACAAGAGCAGAAGGCGAGCAGGGCGAGTGGAAAAACAACACAGTGCGTGGAAGAACTTCGAGTGGCACGTGGCAACTCGTGGAGGGTCGTATGGAGATGATTTTGGTGGCCTTGGCTTCGTCTTGAAGAGAAGAAGAATGTGGTATAGTCCAATCGTTGAAACATGAAAGGATTGAATACGCAGAAACCAACGTGAGAAAAAAGCAATCTACCAAACAAAAAAAAAATTGTTATGAAGAAGAAGAAGAGGCTAGGAGAAATCCCTAGGCTCTGATACCATGTTATGAGAGTAGAAAGAAAAGAGAAACTCTTGTATTCAATCTGAAGATTAATGAATAGGTACACACTTCTTTATATAGGAGAGAAGATAAGTATATACAGAGAATATACTATACAACTAATATACACAAATATATTTAACAGCTTGAATCTCCGGAATCCACCAAAGAAGAACTCTCTTACATTGATAAAAGTAAACACCCAACCCTTTGATTTAACTCACTCAATTCATGAATAAACTCTCAAAATAATCAAAGGAAAACATGCCAAGAAACTCCAGAAGAAAAACCCTAATCCCCAAAAAGTAAATCTAGAAGTCGTACCCTAGAAGCATACTGAATTGCAGCTTTATAGAAAACAGGGCCGCAATGGTCGCTCGGGCAAAGGAATGCTCGCTCGAGCGATGAGAGTTAAATACATGTTCTGCCTAAGTGTCTTCACTCGAGCCACCACAAGTTGCGCTCTAGCGCACAAACCACTTTCCCAGTAATTTTGCAAACAATGAAAATTCTAGGACACAACATTCTTCGCTCAAGCCAGACTTCCTGCGCTCAAGCAAGCAAGCCAATTTTCTAGGAAAAATTACAACTCGATATACTATGTTTGTTCACGGAATTGGCAACACTAAGGGACCTAACCAATTTCTTTCATTTTCCTTTCGGGTGAGCACGGCGGATTTCTACCAAATCCGGATTTCGTTTTGCTTCTCCCGGTTGTCGAGCCTGATTGACTTGACTCTTTTCCCTGCCCCCGATCTCTCATTTCGTTTCATAATGTCATTTTCAAAATAGGTTTTGTAATTGTGCAACTTAAAATTGCATTTCAAGTTTGTATTCTGTCTTTTCTAGTTTGTATTTGAAAATCTTTGTATGTATAGATGTTTGTGTCTCCATATAAAAGATGGGTTGCATATGAGGGAGGGTGTTGTTTGGCTCATTTGCTAACAACTAAAGCTTTTGGAACTAGTGGTGATATAACACATTTTTGAATTCTTGCATCCAGACCTTGATCCCTATTCTTTGGTTAGATTTGTTACTTTCTAAGCCAAACTGCTCTTTAATGGTTCTAGTCTAGTTCCA